AGCCCCCCAGGCGGTCCCAACCGCCCCCAAGGCCGCAGCCCCCCAGGCCAACTGCTTTCTCCACAAGATCGGCTCCAACTCCTTCACTGTCACCCCCCGGGGCCTGCCCCCCGGCAGCCGCGTCCCCGAGCCCGGCACTGTCCCCGCCGGCCGTCCCGCGCCGCCCAAGGGGCCACCAGTGCCATCCGCCAGCGCTTCCCGTGCCAGAGCCAACGCCAGGAGGCCAAAGCCGGAGGAGGCCGAAGCGGCCGAGTCGCCCCTGCCCAGTGCCAGTCTGGCCCCTAGTGCCACCGGCTCCACCCAGCCGCTCTCTGCCTCTGCCCCCCGGGCCGGGGGCTCCTTCGAAATCCACCCGGCCCCCAAGCCTGACTTGGCCGCTATCCCAGCCCATGACCTGCAGGCCCAGGCCTTGGCCAAGCTGCGCCTGAATTCGCGCAATTCCTTCCTCTTTGTGCCCCGCCGGGAGGGCGGCCCGGCTCTGCCCCCGGCCCAGAGTGCCAGGCCGGGGCCGCCGCCACCGTCCTCGGAGGAGAAGGCACCGAAGGAGCCCCTGAGGGCTTCCGCCCCGGAGCAGGAAGAGCCTGTCGCTTCCCCACCGGCGCCTCTGGATCCGTCGGTACCTGTGACTTACATTGATGACATTGTGGAGCCAGACAGTGGGGAGCTTTCTCCCAGGGCTGGCTTGGCTGTGAGGACGGGGAGCTTGGCAGATCAGCCTGGAGGTGCTGGAGACCTGGAGATGGAGTTTTCCTCCGTGCCCCTCTACAGACCGCACTCTGCCCCTCACCAGAGGGGAGGCAGCACCTTCACTGTCGTGCCCAAAAGGAAGCCCGTTGCCTCAGGGCTGCAGAGTCTCACTGATGCCAGTGGAAGGCCGCAGCGGGAAGAAGAGGAGGAGGAGGAGGAGGAGAGCAAAGGAAAAGGCAAAGCCGTGGAGAGCACTGACGGGCCCCAAGTGGGGATGTTGCATAAAAAGCGCTACCCCACGGTGAATGAGATCGAAGTGATTGGGGGTTACCTGTCCCTGGAGAGGTCCTGCATGAGCAAGACAGGCTCCCGCCGCAAGAAGGTAACTGCCTGGGGTGTCTCGGCACTGAAAAGCCAGGCTGAAAGTAGCTGGGTACTACTTTTGGCTTGTCTTTTCATGAGGCACCGGGTGGGAAGATGGGCAGTGTTTTTCCGGTCCTTCTGAGAATCAGAGGCTTGCCTTCAGGGGGAGGGGGCATTGGGTGGTGTTCCACCAAGTAGATGAGAGTGGGATATGGGCTGTGACAACTGCAGGGCCTCTCCCACAGTCACTTCTTGGAGGTATGATAACGGAAAGTAAAATATTTGAGGTATTTAGAAAATCGAGGTGAGTCGCGTGGTTTGAACGGCTGCGGACTTGCCTCCTCTCTAGCTCTGCTTGCTGTGTCTGGTGGGTAATGAACGTGTTGAGCTTCTCGTGTCATAAGCCGAGCAGTGACCACAGTACAGTGGGCAGCATGCCATTGGCGTCTTCCCCGCATTAGTGATCTATTGATAGAGGCTCAAGAATTAGGTCTCTATTAGGCAGAAAGAGATCAACAACTTAACTCCCCTTGATAGGATTATACCACCTGGCTACTTGTTCTGGATGTGCAGCTACATCTCTGAAGATCCACGAGATGTCAATTGCTCCAAGTGTGTTTGGAGCAAATGCCAGGTTTTCTCACTGCTTGGGATCTAACTTAGGTCCTTGTAAGCCTTAAATTCAGAATTAATCTTTGTATGGCTTGGTGAAATGCATCTGGATGTGACAAAGACACAGTCATGCTGAAAGAGCGGGTTATTTTGCTGCACCAGAGAAGCAGGCACAAATCATTTGGCTCTGAAAGCAGCACGCCAAGGTGACAAATCTTGATTTCTAGGTCTGCGACGTGACATGTTTTTCCATAGCGGGAAGAGTGGTTTGACATTCCGTTACCTAAATTCAACTAAATATTTGATGGACTGAATCCATGTGGGTGCCTGAGGCACTGAGCATTATAATTTGAGGAAATCCTTTGAATAGGGTGCATCTCATTTAGAAGGGAGGCAGGGAGTGCTGTTTCTCATGGCTTGACATTGTTAAATCCCTTCTTAAGAGCATGCAGTCTCTACTAATTTGATCGTGACCAATGCAGGTAGCAGGTCTGGAACCTGAGTGCCATGAGATCCAGCATAAGCAAATTAACAGGAGTGTTGATTCTCACTCAGTGCTCCTGCGGTTTTTCCTTGTCCTCCTATGGGGAAATGCTTGATCAGACTGGAATTATTCTGCTGCTTAAATACCTGCTGGCTTGCACTCATTCCATCTGTTTCCTTGGCTCTGCTCAGTTCAGTTTGGGGTATTAACTGAATTTACACCAAATCAGGTGTGTGGTATAAATGGTGAAAATATCAAGACAACATGTTACGGTTACCAGTACTCTTAGGATGGAGCAGAAAATACAGAGGAAACCTTGCGGGACAGATACTCTTAAATAAGCCTGGCTTCTGATGCAGCCAGAGGAGCTGATTTCTCTGGGCAGGGTGGTGCTGTTGGGGCAGCAGTCTTGCTGGTAAAAGAATAAAGCCTCAAGTAAGCAAAACCAAATACGTGGTGTGCAGTGGAAGCCTTTCTTAACTGTACAAAAAGGAGGGAGGGAGATGAGGACAAGGCTAGTGCAGTGACTGCATTGTTTAAGGTTGATTAAACACGAACAGGAACCCGGAGAAGTAGTTGCATCTCCATCCTTGGAGCTATTTGAAACTTGCCTGGGGAGAGCCTTGGGCAACTGAGAAGGTCAGACCTGCTTGGAGCAGGAGTTTGGGCTATAGACCTCCAGAGGTCCTTTCCCAATGTAAAATATCATACGATTCTTTGAAATCGGTTAACAACTGTTTTGTCTGTTCAGTGTTGGATTGTGATGTTGGGCAGGTCATGTAGCTTCTGTGCCTGTGTTCTTATCAGCTTAAGAGCATTAACTATCCCACTCTGCAGGCATTCTGAAGATGGAAGCGTGCTAAATACTGCAGGATGCATATACAACTGTAACGGTGTTTGCTAAGAATTACACGTGGGGGATATCCTGCATGAGAACTTCCATCCATAAAGATCTAGTTTCTGAGAAAGGAGATATTAAAAGGCGAAGGAGGACCTGCCTGTTACCTTGCAGGGCTCAGGAGGCTGAAACAAATGGGGAACCTTTGGAAAATAAGATCCATCTTAAGCAGAAATAGAGACACAAGTTCCTGGGTAAAATTAAATGTGGTGATGTAGTGACAGAAACGCCAGGTTTTCTTTCAGGTCCCTTCCTGCTAGGAGTGGCAAGCATGGAGTTTGACTTTGTTGCCAGGGTTTAGAAGATGCTGATGCTGTAGCAAATGGAAAAATTTCTGTTTACTCTTAACCTAGAGGATGTTTGTGGCTTTTATTCTGGGTAATAAGGCTGAGTGTTGATGCCCAAAAAGGAAGGAGCTAGTATTAGGACACATTCCTTGGTTTCTTCCCAAGAGATCACTGTGTGTCACCAAGGCAACCAGTCAAAAACAAGGGTTCTGTTTTGTAGATATGTCCGGGTTTTCAGAAACTTGATTTTGGCCTGAATTGGGCAGAAGCAGACATTTCCTGTGAGCTGGAAGCTGCAGTTCTTTGGTAAAACCAATGTCCCTTTCTCTTTTGGGGGTATCAAAATCAAACCTGATGCTGGTTTCAGTGGGCAGCTACCCGGGTCTTTTGGGGTGATTCTCTTGAGGTGGATGTGCTGGATGAGCCCACCTCCTGCTGAGTGTCTTCCTTTCCAAACCTTGCCTTGGATTTGCTGAAGGGTCTTTAAGTATGAACCAGGCTCAAGGAAGTCGTATTTAGTGAAACCGATGACTTTGAAAACTTCGTCTGCTTGCTGACGCCCAGCAGGAATCTGGGTGAGGTAAACAGCAGGTCTAGCACAGCCTGGAAGTGGTGTGTTCCTGCGGATCGGCAGGTGTCTGTGGTTACAGTCAGGGCTAATGATTTATTAGGAGGGAGAGAGGCAGTTGTGGCAGTTAGACTGATTGTTCTGTGAGAAGCAAACTGTGTTTTTCTTCAAATGCGGAAATTTGGCCTCCCTTTTCTGTTCAGTGTCTGTTCACTAGTTGCCTGACTATGGTAGAGATGCCAGCAAAACGGAGCCGACTTGGTCCACGTCGTCCAGTCCACATCCTCTGTAGCTTTTTGGAGTGGGAGGGTGGCTGGGACAGGGTGGCAGTGGGTTCCAGCGCTGCCGTGGTCTGCGTGGAGGGACCTCCAACCCCCTGCTCACAGCTGCGCAGCTGCAGGATCAAGTTATACTAGTTGTACTTGTGACTTTGCTATGGCCTGCTGGTGTTCAAGGCCTCTCAGGAAAAATAGGTTTATTGCTCCTTCCAGACACTTCAAATATGTGAAGCAGCTGTTTGTTTTGGGGTTGAAGCTGGATCTTGGGCTGATGAGGGAGAGAGAGGGAAATGCTGTTCCTGTGTCAGAATAGAAAATGGGTTCCCAGCTCTCTTGTGCAACTAGAGTTGCTGCGGTGGGACGGTCGTCATTCACCCAGGGCTGTGAAGGTGAACATGGGGTTGTGTATGATGGGACACAATCAAGATCTGCAGGTGGAGGGCAGAGCCCTAGCTGTGCTCATCCTGGGGACCAGGCTGCCTGTGTGGGCAGGCAGTTTGAGCTCTTGTCCTCCTACAGGTGTTAAGATGCCCTTCAGGACTGTTCATCTACTCCATGGCTGTTTTGAGACCTCTCCAAGCGGTATCACAGCTAGTTCAGATAAAGTGGTGGGGGTGTGACTTCGCTTTGAAAATGAAGTGAACGTTTGCAGCTTTGAACGGACGTGCTGTGTTTCAAGCAGAGCTCTGGGCAGCTGCTGGAAGAGACTGGCTGAGCTGTCAGCTCTGACGGTGAGGACAGGATACGTGTGCAGGAGCGGAAGGAGACCTACTGACCTTTATTCTAAACAGGGAGTGGGGGAGAGGATGCAGAGCACTGTTGGTGACCTCTGTTCAGTGCTCCTATTTGTACTCTGTTATTACAGAAGAAGTAAAGACACTTCAGCCTGATAGCAGCCCCAGGAGGAAGGGAAGGCTTTGCTGTAGGATGTGGATCTTTGGGATCTCAGAGGATAATATCTAGCTTGGCTCAGCTGACAAGAATCAATCTTGCTTTGGTTACCTGCCAGAATAACGTACAATAAAGTTGTCAGCAAGATAGAAATCTAGGTTTCTGTAAAACATGTGACTGGCATGTTGGAGCGAGTGATTGGAAAGGACTGCAAACTGCTGAGACAGCTGGGGTCTTGAGAAGTAGTCGTCTGTCTTTAGGCTTCATGTTCTCATCTTGTTCTCATCTTGTTGGAGGCTGGACTCTGCCATGAAGGTCCTGTGCGTACAGAATTTGCCCCGACTGTGCTCCTTCCTTATGTCTTGTCAATCCTGCAGTTCGTCCCAAGTCACAGTATGTTTGTCCTCTCCAGGACCTGGTACCTCTCGGGGATCCTGCAGGAAAGGGGGCTTCTGGCCAGGCCACCCAAAGTCCTGCAAATAATACAACTTGAGAGCCAACAGACATCAGATTGTTGATGGTTTTAATGGTTTTTTTTGGCTTGTCACAGTTGGCAGTTTGCCAAGTGCTAGAAGGTGAGCTGCAGCCTTGTGTGAACAGGGCTTACAAGAACAAGGTTGGTGGGATCCAAACAGTTGCAATCTGATGCTTTCCTGCTTCTTTGCAAAACTGTCTTCAAAGATGTTCAGCTTCAGCTGAACTTCAAAAAGTTCCAGCCTACATGGACTTAAGCATGGTCCGTTTTCTAACATTTTGAGCTGCATAATGCCTGAATATGGCTTCCAAATGCCCACTTAAATGTCTGTTAAAAAATTATTCTAAACATCCCTTGGCTTTTCATCATGGGCAGGATTGGGCAGCAGTTTTGTTGGTCTAACCTGCTGAACTTCTTGCTCTGTAGTTTTCCATCTGTTCAGTTCTGCTGGAGATGGTCTCCTGTGAGAACCGGGTGTAGGCTCGAGATGTTGGCAGGGATGAACACTTCCAACTATTGCCCAGAC